GTAAAGATGCACAATTTTTTGCATAGATCAAGCTTTACTTTCTGTTTTTCGCAATAGAAATATTCTTAAGTTCAATTGAGACGTTATTGCAAGTTGCCACATTATTGTCTATTAAAGTACACAAAACTAACCAAACCAAGAAGTTGGACAAAATAGATTTTTGTCTTTCTTCTACATAGTGAGTATTGGAATGTGTGTAAAAGATAATTTTTCATAACGAAACAAGAGTAATTCTGTTTTTCTTTTGTTTTGATCATGCGTCTCTACTGTCTGTGTGGTCCACTTTTTTCAATCCTCACCGTAGAAAAGCAGCTTAAGACCACATATCTTCTTTTTGTTCCTTTTTTTGATATATGAACAAATTTTTATGACAAACGAGCGTTTTTTGGGAAAAGTCAATGAAAAATAAAATCGAAAATACCTCTCTGCCCTCATTTTGAAGTGAAACGATTGTGACAGATAGTCAGAACAAGAAGTTAGAAAGTTAGATCTTGTCTACATTATACAGCTTAAGCATGAATTTTGTAATGTGATTGGATAAAATGTTAAGCGTAAAATGATGTTTCTGTTCTCTTAAAATATCACATGAATTTGATGGAAAAAATGTAAACACAGTTTCTTAGCTCGCTGTTCTTGATATCTGGCGAGGGAAGGTCCTCAACTAGAAAGTCACCTTTTGGATAAAAACTGTGTGATTATAGGTAATTGATAACGCTGATCCTGAATATCATAGGCGGGTAGACAGCTAGTCCTTTTAAAACACAAATTTCAGGAAATTAATTTTTTCCCAAAACGTCGAGCTATATCTATCAATAAAGGTATTTTTGACTATCCGACATATCCTGACCGACTTAAAAACATTTTGAAATCTCTTGTCAATGAAGAGAAATGATTATCGAATGAGAAAATCTTTAATGAAAAGAAGACGAATGAAAAAAAATTTCATTTCATTGTGAACAGTAATCAGTTTTAAGATTTTAAATAAGAATGATCAAAAAGATCTTTGTTCTCTTTGAACGCTCGATATGAGCGCTGTACTAATCTAACTTCGACTGAAGTTTTTTATCAGAATAGAAAAGTCATCTTAATACTCAGTGATCTATTTACGTTTTGTTTTTTCTAACAATTTCTACGATAGACTTATCAATTCAATTTACTTTTGCTTAATTCGTGAAATACCAAAAAAAGATAATATTAAATATGTCATTTACAGCTCTTGGATAGTCGAATCATCTTTTTTTCCGAATCTTTATGATCAAGAAGTAGCCAGATCTTAAAAGAGTGTCTGGAGGGAAGAAGAGTTTTTATGGTGAAAAACAATAAGTATCCATTCGTTATACTCATTTGACTTTAATATTATCAGAAAAATAGAGAAATAGATCTTTCTAGTTTTAGATATAGATTACTATAAAACACGCATTGTTGATTGCCGTAGGTGAAACATACTTGTGAGAACTGTTATACGAATAGGATTTAATCATTCTTTTTCTTTTTCCGCTTGAATTTATGCACATAAACCTTGTCAAAAAAAAAAAACATACATCATTTAGTTGTTAATGATTATGTTGGTAGTTGTCTAGTTTATACAGAAATAGCATAGGTCATTTCATTTGAAAAAATAGGTGGTTTACAAATGAATGTGATGATTGATTTTGACAAATTTTTTTAATCATCTAACAGGAATTTTTGTTTCATTCATTTTTACTCACCTTTCTATTGGAATATCCCTGTTACTTACGTAATTTTTCATATTTAAAGTGACTTATATATCACTAGTTATAAGAAAGTGAAATAATTAAATTTCAGTTCAAAAGAAATAATTTAGTTGAATAGAAAAATCACTTTTAATATTTTAAAATCATCAAAAATTGTCCTTAATTTGTCTAATTTATTTCTAATGATCATGCAACAATACTTAGAATGGATTTTAAAAACAATTGCTCTTTCTCATTTCCGGCCATAATATTTTTAGAAAATGAAAGTGAAAAGTGTTGTTGTAGAAAATTATATAAAAGCCTATTCTCTTACATTATTATTATTGTTTCGTTTGTTCTGATTGTTTTTCTTTGTTACACCAAATTCTAAAAAAGTAAGTCATGCAGTTTGCTCATTACTATCCTAAATCTGTCTGACTTTTTATAATTAAAACTAAATATGTAAATCACTTTTTGTTGAATATTTAGTAAGCTTGTAACGTTCAGAAAGTTATCACAAAATTATAACTATACTTATAGATTATATTAATAAGAACATGGTAAATATTCACAGGCATTTAAAGTTGACCCTACTTTTTTTAGGAGGTTAGTCAGTTTAGTAGATAAAGACACTTTTATCATCACAATTTTTGTCATCATAAGTGAAGACGACACAGTGGGCATATAGGCGGACATTTAGTCGAAAATAGAAAGTGAGCTTTTCTGTGATTTAAATAGTATCGAATATACAGCGTTAAATGGGTTATCGAATGGCGTAAAAATTTTTATTCTGTGACTTTTCTTTATGGAATTACTTGAGAAAGAAAACACGGTGGTATAAGAAAAATGCTTGAAAAACAGACGTGTATGGTATAATCAAAACGCGTGGGTTAGCGGAGGTGCAATCTTACTTACTTTTTCACTAAAACGTTCCTTACGATAGAACGTTTTTCGGTGAACTCTTCTGATTTCGTTCGTTCACGCGTTATTCGATAGAGGGTTGGAAGCAGATAAAAAGTCTAAATGGATATGCCCAAGCAAAAGGAAAAATCGATAAGCTAGCTCAACCTAGGTAAAGCGGTACATTTAGCTAGCTTCAGCTAGGTAGTAGCTAGCTTGAGCTAGCTAAATGTACCGCTTTACCTAGGTTGAGCTAGCTTATCGATTTTTTCTTTTGCCTGGGTGGGCCCATGGCTCTTTTCTCAAAAGTTACAGCCATTCTTTTAGTTTTCTCAGCGAAAACTAGCAAAAATAGAAAAGTTCAGAACTCCGCCTAGAAGAGTCGTAGCAAGCTGAAATGTTTTTTGGTGGTCACTCCAGAGGTCTGCTAGATACGCTGAAAATTTCAGCTTTCAGTCTCTCTTCCTTCTGAGTTATGAAAATTCTAACGGTCAGAAACAAATCCTTTAGTTAATCCGTTTTTACCGTGCGCCGAAAAGTTTGTGTAACTCGTAAAGAAAGAGCGACAGAAAGCTGAAATTTTCAAGGTATCTAGCAGACCTCTGGAGTGACCACCAAAAAACATTTCAGCTTGCTACGACCCTTCTAGGCGGAGTTCTGAACTTTTCTATTTTTGCTAGTTTTCGCTGAGAAACCTAAAAGAATGGCTGTAACTTTTGAGAAAAGAGCCATGGGCCCATATCCATTTAGGCTTTTTATCTGCTGCCAACCCTCTATCGAATAACGTATGAACGAACGAAATCAGAAGAGTTCAGAGAAAAACGTTCCCCCATCAGTATATCCTGTATCTATAGTATACTCGCAAGATTTCACAACTTTTTCTGGCGATAGTTACAGGTTTTCTGAAAACCCTCTCTGCTTCTGAGGTAATTTGGACTTTTTATCCTTATATGTTGCTTTACTTGAATAATTTATATATATTCAGATATATTCACACTGCATCGACTGATATGTCTAAGAACTATTTTTGAGGAAAAACGTTTTTCGTCTAAAAAGTTTTTTTTCTGAGTTCCAGTTTTTTTAATTTATATAATAACATTTCAAACATAATAAAGTACTGTTGAGCAAAAATACTCTCTTTCTGAATTAAAAAACCACATGTTCGCCTGGTCTATAGAAAAATGCCCGCTGTGGATGATAAACGAAAGCCTATGTCTCGGCTTTTCACAGATCAGAGTCTGAGCCGGTTGAACAAAAAATTCAACTAACCCATCGATTAACCGGCCGATTAGGAAATTCTGTAACCGGCGAAAAAAACTCGGTGAACATGTTAGCCGTGCGTTGCGATAAGCAGCGTTTACCCTCTTCATAGAGTCCATTCTGCACTGAAAAAATTTCTGATATTTGTAAAACAAATTTTTGTTTTTGTTATCTTTTTAAAAGATTGATTTCCATAAAAATCTTTTCAACTCTTTTTTATTCCAGCTCTATTCATAGACAAAAATCTATTTCGTTTTTAAACTGAACCGGTAAAAAACCAGCACTAACAGGCCAGTTAGATTTGGGTTTACCGGTTCGATTCCAACTTTGCCACAGATATTAAGGCGAAATGGAGCCCTATCAAAATTTAGGTGACCTTAATAAAATTTCATCCCTATAGTTCAAATTTTTATCACACATACTCAAGATCTGTTTTAAATATTTGTTTTTTCTTTTTTGAAAAATATTGCTTTCTTGCTCAGTTAAAGTGTCCATCTTTGGAAATATTGCAGATAGTAAACGAACCACCAAATCCAAAGCCTGTCAGAACGTAATTTGTAATAAACCCTTTAAGTTATCGGTTGATAGGAAGAACAACAACATTTTTTCTCATCACTCTCTCTGTAAATAACATACATACAAATAAATAGCATACAAAATAGAATTTCAGCAGCTCTTCTGGAATCGCTACGGGATTGAGGTCTCCTCCTCAGAAATTATCTCTGACACCAGACATCCGGTTTTGATGAAACTTTCCATAAATGTTAGACACAGTGAGTTATGGGAATGAAAAAATTTTGTTTTGTCTTCAAGTCTTACCGTTCAGGAGTTTTCCAGAGACCAAGGTCCAAAAGGGACCCTGAAGTTTTTCTCAAGAATTTTTAATATACTTCAAGCTAGAAAGTTCGGGTTTGTTTTATTTTAAACTAGACACCTAACTACATGGGCTGATCGGTGCCGATTTTTCAATTAAGCCATTGTTCGTTTTCTAGAGATCCGACAATCTCAAAACCCCCAAAGATCCTTTGAGTTTGCTATAGATTCTTGATTTTCTAAACAACTAAGGTCTGACTGAAAAATCGACTCCCTCAGCCCATGTAGAATTCTTCGCTCTTTCGATTAAAACAAAAAGTATCTGTATCGGAGATGCAACCGGACCGAGCGCCCGTTCCCGGTCCGATCCGGTTGAGACCGTTGACGATCCGGTTGAAACCGTTGACTTGACTTATAGCTAGAGCATATGACAGAAAATAGCATATTTATATCGAACAGAAAGCAAAAAACATTGGTCGCTTACCAGTCAAAGTTTTCAAAAATGGCCGGTCCGATCCGATCGCCATATTTACGACGGTCACCGGTGGCATCTCTGATCTGTATGATGAACCATTATTGAAAAAAGTGCCATACACTGAGCATGCCTACACAAAAAGTGTGTTCTGAGAGAAAACGCTGTGCATCGGTTGATCCATTTTTGGACTTGTAGGAAAATGCTTGTAACTTGTTGACAGAAGATCACACAGAGTTTTGCTTATTTTGATCAAAAAAGTTTGCTCTACAAATCTACCCGTTCAAGAAAAAATTTAATTGCATAAGTATCCAGGAAAAACTTTTATTTGAAGATCCTGTTTTGCGAGACTTCTACAAAACTTACTCGAAAGCTGAAAGTTGAAGTTTAGAACTCTCTCTATCGATGAATCAACTTGATGAAAGCTCACTGAATATAGTTTTTATTGTTCATGATCTTGAATTAGAACTACCCGGAAAGAAGATAGTCCTTCATCACCTATTCGTTGCTAAACTTATACCTATTTTGTTTAGATTCATTCATTAAAATTCGAAAAAATGTATTTTTTATCTGTTTTATTCATATTTATTCAATCGGCAATAGCATTTACAATAATTAGTACGTATATAACACTCTCTTTTTGACTGTTCTTCAATTTTTTTAATTTTATGTTTTTCGCTGAGTAGACAGTGAGCCAGATAAAAATTTTATTTATGAATTAAAGTCACAACACCATGATGATGATAAAAGTAGCAGTAGCGAGAATCAAGACTATCTTATTGATAATATTAACCAACGACCATTTAATTCATTTATCTCAAGTAACAATTATGAAGATGATGAATATCAAAGATCTGAACGTGCAGCTGCATTTCTAAGATTTGGACGGCCAAGTTCGTCATTTCTACGATTTGGTAGGTCAAATCCGTCATTTTTGAGATTCGGGCGATCTAACCCTTCATTTTTACGTTTTGGCCGCGTACCAGCCGATAAACGAACATATCAATCCTCATTTTTACGTTTTGGTTAATCAGAAAAAGTATTATAATTCGTAGCAAAAATGTTTTTAGCTAATGGAAAAAACTTTGTTGATGTAGTAATTGGTTATTGAAATAAAAAACATTCTTGTTGCACAAATATTTATAATTTAAAGCTTGTTCGATACAAGAAGATTTCAACTCATATCATTATAATATTGTAGATATAAAAACTTCCGTGTACAAGATGTGCTTTCCACAAATTTATTTTCCACTGACTATTTTTTGTTTTAATTCGTTTTTTCCTGAAGAAAGGAAAAAATATGTATTTTTTGTTCAATAGCGGGTTTACGGGTCTACAGACTAATATGTTAAAAAGAAAAATATTAAACGTAAGTATTAAGCTTACTAATATTAAAAATGAATTAAATATTTTTCTATCTGATCAAAATTGCATTAATATTAACATCATCGCCAGCTTTAATATTTATTTTTTATTTAAAAATAGTTAAATATTTTTCTATCTTATAACAACTAAGACAGGAATACTATTCACATATACCCTCAGACGATCTTGAACATATGGAAAGGGTCAATTAATGATAAAACTATTTGCAAATCACTCAGTTATGCTGTGAAGCTAGTTCACAGAGAATTTGGTTGAAACAAACACAGACAACAGTGACTGATCAACAAAATTTTGTATAGGAAATGATCGGTATAGTCGAAGTACTTTTCATAAATACAAACAACGAAATTTCACTTCCAAAACTCGTTTGATATACAAATAGGCTTTACTTTCCATTGACATACAATCAATTACCCATTTGATCCATTAATTATTTATACACACTTTGAAAACATTTTTTATTCAGTAGACTTAAAAGTGAACAAAAATGTGGAATATCACAATCAATATATTGTTCAACGTTTAGAAGAACGTGGAAAGTAGTAGCTCATACCAGCTTTTAAGAAAGTTGAAATATCAAACTACTTAACTAATACACATTTTCTATCTAGCGAGTGCAGCAGAAAGAATGAGCCTCTTAGTATCTTCTATTTTTCTCGTGTTCCTTTAGGTTAATGTTTTTCTTAAAAAGATTCGTCATGAAATACTCTACAAAACCATATCTAGAACTTTAATTTTAGAACTTCAATCAAGAAAACTACGCAAAGTAGACGAAAGGTGGAAAAAATAAAAATTTTCTAAATTTAAAAACGATTTCCTTTGTTAACGATTTGAAAGTAAGAAAAATTGAATTAGTCGTTTGTAGCCTTGACTTCGCTCTATCGTTTAACTACACTTCAAACTTTTTTCCATGAAAATCCACAGCGAAATAATAATTTTCTGTCGGTGGTCACGCATTTTTTCATTAATTTTTTAAATTCTGCGTATGGTGGTGTGGCGCTTGCAGTAAAAGTCCCATAACTTAATCACAACAAAAGATTTCTCGATTGAATTGGGTATTTTTTTATCGGAAATGATTACTCTTCTCTACCTAACTGTATAATCAAACCGTCGATCATATTTTTCGTTTCTTGCTGAAACACTCTATTGAAAACGGAGGATTGTCAATTTTGACGTATTTTTGAAATTTCGTTCTCGTACACCATCTTCTCTAAAAAAAAATATTTTTACAGACCATGAGAGAGAGCACATTTGAAAGTACAACACAAACTGAGTTCACACTTTCTTGCTGAAATAATAATAGAAGAAGAAAAAATATCAAATTTATAAAGTTTTTGTTTTTTCCACCTTTCATCTAATTTGCGTAGTTTTCTTGATTGAAGTTCTGAAATTAAAGTTCCAAGTATGGTTTTGTAGAGTATTTCACGGTGCATCTTTTTAAGAAAAACATTAACCTTAAGATCCTAAAGGAACACGAGAAAAATAGAAGATACTGAGAGGCTCATTCTTTCTGTACCACCCGTTAATTAGTAGAATATAAATCCACTATAGAAAATAATCCATACATTTTTTCTTCATCCTTAATTCAACTTGATTTTCTAGGATTTGGGTTTCAAGAGACCTTGATTTCAGAAATTTTGATAAAATTTTTGTATACCAGCCGTTGAAAATTCTTTTAGCTATTTAAATATTTTTTCACATTTGTTTTAGCGATTATGGACGAGGAGAAAAATATTAAAAACAAATCTTTTCTATAATTTTTCACTGGACTGTACACATGCTTTTCTGTCTACTATCTTAAACTTTCAGGCAGAGATGTAAAATTAAACTTTGTCCATTTTTCTACACAGAACAAATATCAAAAATTAAATAGAATTTCATTCCATCTTTTTAATTTGCTCTCATTTATATTTCTAATCAACAAAAAAGTGTCTGTATAATTGTTGCATCACTTTCAACAGGATACATTTACGTGTAGTTTTCCTTAACATAAAATATTTGTTTTATTTAATAACAACATCAAAAATAAATCAAAATATTTGAAAAAGTGAGAGTCAAAAACAAGAAAGAAAACATTGCACAAAATTGGATAAATCAAACGAACAGTACAAATGAGTATTAAAACAAAAATTAAATTTTTAAATTGATTAAACTCATAAGAATAAGAATAAAAAAAAAGGAAAGGCTATCGCTAATTGTTGTTCGTTCAACATTACCATAAATTCATAAAATTAATTCCTAGAAACTTTTCTTCCCTTTTTTTCCAATACATATCATATTTTGGTTTATAAGATTGTTGTTCGTAATTCACATCAAACCATAACGGTTCATATTTTTCATGACATTGTTCTTGTTCGCGTGTACGTTGACGTTGACCATCTTCAATACGAGCTTTTTCTTTTTCAGCTGATTCAATATCACCCGCTTCTAGCAATCTAAAATATAAGACAATTGACGAATTATGCTATTTTTATGAAAAATTTTCATGATAAATCAATTATTAGAAAATTTGACAACTAAAACTAGTCATTATAATAAACTTTTTACAAAGATCAACGGTAAAAACTATGTATGCATACCTTTGATCTGGTCTGAGTCTCGAATCGGTGGGAGGTAATTGTTGTTTTAGATCATCATCTAATTCATTTAATTCAATAGCAAAACGAGTAAAACCATAATATTGTTTGGAATTTTCCAGTACCGCACCTTTATATAATAAATCATTTTTATCTCTGTGATTAGATACATCAGAATATTATACATACTTTGTTTCCATATACATTTTGCCGTTTGATCATTTCCACAGAATACATCATTATGCCAGTGTCCAAATAATTTATGTACAATATCACCCTGTTCATTCTCTATGTCGCCAGCAACATTGTTCAAACGAGTGCGATAGTTACTCTACAACAAATAATAAATAAATTTAGCAGTTTGAGGAATATATCATTTTAGACAGAAATATCTGTTCTCTAGAATTGACATTTATAGAATACCTGTTGCTTATGACAACTGAATAAAACTGAGCATTTTCTGAAACTCACAACAAGTGCCTATCGTTATCCGTGTACAGTGCTGCCGTGCCAATAGTTCAATATCTTTCCCGCAGTTGACATTCTCACATGGTCGCGCATACTGCTACTAATTATTAACTGCTGCTGTGAACAAAAAGCTATCGTGACGCAGATCAATAAGTCCGGAGACAAGTTCCTGAAAGATCCGACGTCGGAATCCGACCGAAACCATGTCGGAATCCTGTCGTCCGGAATCCGTGCCGTAAGATGTCGGAAAAGATCCGATTGGGACCGTCGGGTTACAGACATTGGATTTCCCTGGATTTGGCAGAATGTGACCGGTTTTCAGATGTTTTAAGACTAACAATAGTTTTAAATTTTGCTGTCGCGGAACAAAACGGTGAATATATTATGCGCACTGATAAGAAAGAAATCTTTGTAAAGTTATAGAATTTACAAGAAAAGCCCTAAATGTTCATTGTCAGCTCAAAGCTACAGAAATAAGAAGGAAAAAATTAATTTAGGGCTTTTCTTGTAAATTCTATAACTTGACAAAGAAAGGTCGTATAAAGTTGGGAGATATCTCATTTTAATCAGAAATTTGCGGGCTACAATCATGTCTATTAAGAAAGGTTTTGGTTATATTTTAGAGTTTCTAGAAAACCGGATTTTTGAAGGACTAAGGGCTACCCCCATGGTCATATTCAGAATCAGCATGATCGATAACCAATAACCCACTAGATTCCAAACAAAAAGCGTTTTATGACCTCGAGAGGCTCTCTCATAAGCCATGCCGTCAAAACGCCCTGGTAGTGGATACTTTGAGCTATTCAAACATGTGCTAACCATGATATTGACCTTTTTTAATAAAAATCTGCAACTCTAATAGGGTAACCTTAGAATATCATAAGAAAAATTTCTGCGTTCAAATCTAATTACCTGCATAAAACTAATTCGTGCTTTTGTTCCATTCGAATTTTCAACAAGAAGATCCTAAAATGTTCACACACGTTATTAATCGGATTTTTGCTACTAAACTTGGACGAAAAACTGACAGCCGGAATATCATAACATTATTTTTGTATTTAAGTATTTTTTTTTTTACAAATCTTCAATATACAGACATAATTAAAAATATTTTCTGGAAACATCTTCAGATAAATTTATTGACTCGAAGAAAATTAATTTTTTAAGAGGCTCATGGTCACTTCATTTTAGCTGATTTATAAGATTAAATGAAGGGTCGCATAATAAGTGAAACACTCACCCCGTACTGATCGATCCTACAAGAAAATCAAGTCATCAATTACTTCAATTGAAAAACAAGCGTAGCATAGAAAATTTTAGTCAAATAATCGAACGAAACGCATTTCGTTACTGTCTAGTCACTCTATCATAGTAACATACCAGCGATCGTTTGACAGCAAATTATGGATACACATGGTCACTTTATTCCACACGATTGTTTCATTAAATCTATAAAACAAAACAGAAAGATAAGGGTAGCAGAAGAGAGAAAATAAAAAGACGCATACCTTGGAAATGTCAAAATGTTTAAAGAGTCAGGTAAAATCTCCATTGATTTTCCCCAAAACTTTACTTTTGCCTGAAGTTCTAAATAATGAAAGAAATTGATAAAAATGAATTATGAATTGAATTCAAAACTTACTTTGTAATAGAGTAAAATTTGGCGATTCACAATAGCAAACGGATATCGGAGGATGATGACTAACCTATTTAAAAAAGTGAACAAGATTAATTGATTGATACAAATATTTGTCTATTTAGTGTGTACCTGTTCGGCAATAAATTTCCATCCTTTATCTTCTCGAATACATTCGTACGTTTCACCTAACAAAGGATTAAAATTTTTTCGTCCTGTTCGATAATAATTTGATGAATAGGTGGAAATTATGAATGCAGCAACATAAACCATTCGTTGATATTTATCATCTGTTAATGATGCTTTATCTAACAAATCGGTATACTCCATTTCTTCACATAATTTTTGTAATAAACCTAATGGTTCATTTAATATGACAGGCATGGCGATACGAGATAGATCTTTGCCAATAGCTTTTCTCATAATATCCCATAGTTTGATATTGGATGAATCAGGCGCTGTAGCGGGCAACGAAGAACGTCGCCATTTTATTTGAGGCGGTTCTTAAATGAAATATCAATACATTTATAGTTTATCTTCAAGTATAAAAAACAATCGATACATACTGACTGGATGAAGTGTCGATTGTGTTGGACGTCGATGAGCTGTATCCAAACTTCCAGCTGGACTTTCGTCATCACTCGTCGATTCTGATACAGTCTAACAAAAGAAAAATCTAATATATCACTTTTTGTCTCATAGTTAAGCGAGACAATTCTTGAAATATTTAAAGAAAATATTTTTTGCTCATTCATCACGTAATACTGCATACGCTTACCGTTTTATCACATTCATCTTTATCCAATAATAATAAGTTACCAAATGCTTCTGGTGCATCATAAAATATTGAACCTTGTCGAGATAATGTTGACGATGTTGAATGTAAACCGCTTAGATTCTAATATAGAGCACATTAATTAATATAACGTAATATTAGAAGACGAGACAAACTTACTCTTGTATTTGATTCAATAGCTAATAGCGATAATCTCTTGTATAAACTATTCAAATTATCAAATACTTAAATAGAAAGCATTTTAATCATAAAGTAACTTTGAAATATTTCAGATATAATAGAAAAATAGCGAATAAATACTCACCTTTTTTTGACAAGTGAAAATACTCTATTCTTTGAAAATCCGGCGAACTTGTTGTGGATGAATTTGAATGTACACTGCCTATACTAGGAGACTGTTGGTGATCATTGCCAGAAAGATTATTTGTGCCAACTTTAAGATCCTAAATATAACATAGAGTAGTCGCTGTATATATAGGCATGTTTGATAAATAAAAAGACAAACTAGCGAAATAAGAGTTTTGATGAAAAATTTGCGAATAAATAAACTTTGTACTATTTTCAAATAATAATAATAATAATAATATTGCAAAATTACTCTTGTATTACTACTTCGTTCCATCATCTACATTACTTTTCTATGCTGTCGAAACGACACATGTTTTAATTCAGCAATAGATGGTCGTTGTTGTTTTGCTGATTTATGAATGCCATGATGTACATAATCTTGCTGAAAACATGCTAATTTTATCGAATGATCAAAATAAGTTTAATGGACAAATCCATCCAACTGGTAATAGAACCGTGAGATCGTAAAATAGTTAAATTCTCTCTGATGGTACTTAACGTTTGATATTAGTAATTCAACTGGTTTAGCCAAGGGGGAAGCAGCTGATTAAAATCAGTCCAAAATCAATTGATTTTCAGTGATCCTCTGTGATTTCCAATGACTTTCAGTCATTTACGATGACTTTTCATTTGGTGAAAATCGGAAAAATCCAAAAGTTAGCTGTTTCCCCCTTGAGTTTAGCACAATTGTTTTTTATTTAAATTTTATTTACTTCTGTATCTTTTGTGTTGAGTTTAATTTGTTCCAAGATATCTGATAATGAACTTAATTGGATTTGTATGTCGGCAAAATCTAAATGAAGATAAATGTTCAACATATGCTTAGTATAGGAATTTTTTCAACTAAAACGTAAAATATCAATGATAAATAAAAAGACATATTTTTCTAACTAACCGTTGTAAAATAGACGATCGGATGTTGATACGATAGTTGATTCACTAATAATACATATTTTAACGAGTAACGAAATCATAACTTCGCATAGATTACTTACCTATCTGTTCTATTCTGTTGTTCAATGTCTTGTATATCTGGTACTTTTTCTAACTGTTTTTGTCTATAACTTCGATGTTGAGCAATCTGATCTAACCATTGATCAAACTGTTTTTTATCTTTGATCTAAACAATCGCAAGTTACTTATATCCTAAATGAATGTTCTAGATGTGGTCATTTACTTTTATATGATAAACAAAGTTTGTTTCATCGACACTAATACGCTGTACTTCTCGAATAAATGTGACAATGCACAAACCAATATCACATCGACCATTATAACGACCACGTTTAATCTAAAATTAGTCTTACTGAGTATGACGAATGAAATGAGTTTTATTGAGAACGCATTGTAGAAGACGTTCACCTTCTCTCGTTATTTCTAACCAACCTCTTGTTCTGATTTTCCATACATTAAATAACCATTGTCTAATAGAAAATAACGTTTATGCCATCCTCTCATTGGCCAATTTCTTTTTTTCATCAAATAATTTCCAATTGTTGACACATTTTCAACATCAATTGCACCTGAACGTAATATTTCATTGATATAATTCTTAAAAAATAAAAATTATTGAGTTAAACTCTGAAATGAACAAAGAACAATGTTTACCTTTGGTTGTTTCTTCTTTTTCTCACTTGTTTTTGTTGATGTTGTATCATCATCATCGTCTGAGTCATCGTCACTACTTGTTGCAACCTTAACAATTGAGAATCAACATTAAAAATCATATCCTGCCATGAAAGAGAGTCATTATAGTTATTTAAAATTCTTCCGCTATTAGTAGAACCGACTTTTTGTTTTATCAAACTATTCAAAAACCTTTTAATACAACCTACACATATTGAATGGGACAGAAAAAAGAAAATAATATAGTAGAATAAAGGAGTAAGAAGTTACGGGAAAGTGAGTGATTAATAGATACAGACGAAAACGTATCTATTAATTAACAATCAACAGTTACAAAAGTGAAGTTTGCCTTCATTTATTCAGAGTGGAGTTACCATTTCTATAGAAAATTTATAGAAAAATATCTGTAATTAGACTTAACTATATTGACTAGCAATTTATGCAAAAATGTATGAAATACATGTTTATCTTAGAAACCCCATTTCGGTATTCTTTTAATGTTTTATTTCTAACCATGTGATTTCAAACCTAAATTAGGTCTCTAAAAGGGTGTTTAATTAATAAGAAGTTCAAATATGCATAACTTCTTAGATACAATTCTGACGAAAACAAAAAATTTATTTTCGACATGCAAATGATCATTTTCTTGTTCATGAGAATGGTGCCGATATTGTTTACACAACATTTGACACATTTTTTCCCCGAACAAGTTGATAAACGATTTAAGATTGTTGACTCGATAAGGATTTTAATTTAAAGTTTTTCTCGCTTTTTCAAGCGAAGGTGACAGTTCCACATCATTTTCAGCACTGTCACCACTCTTATCTTATATATAAAAATGACTTTCAAATAGAACAAGCAATAAAATTATTAAACGACCTAGATCTATTACAGTAGAAGAAAAATAATGATTATGTTTCGACGAATTGTTCAGTTATTTTAAACATATACAAAGAATGGATGAATAAAGAAAGCTCGACATATCGCCAAAAAACAAGTGATAGTAGAAAAAAAGGAAAATAATATTTTCCACTTTCTCTTAACCAATATATTTAAAACTCACATAAAACTATCAGCAAGAGAGGGCAAAAAGACAAGTTAGTTTAAAAAAAAAGATACAATTCTACTCAACAAAAATGTTAGCAAATAAATTCACCTGAAATGTAACTACAAGTATCATGAGTTATCTTTGCAAGTGACAAGTATTATAGAACTGAAGAAGTGGCTATAATAAAATAAAAATTTCTCAAAGCAATAGAAACCTGTACGATGTTTAGAAAATAATTTTTAATTTGATGATCTTATATACTGAAAAATAGTTCAACTGAACGCAGTAGAATTATCTTAACATAAGTTACATTTTTAAAATCTTTGGAATTTTTTTGTTGTAAAATAGTCTGATAGATAGTCTGTAATTTAGTTTTAACTCTTTACATTTTAGATATTTAAAAGTGATTTCAGATACACAGAGATAATTAACTGTATCATAGATACATTTCCTTTCTTCTTTGTTTTTCGTAAATATTAAAATTGTAAATTATGACTAATGTATAGTCTAATGCAACATAATAACAATGGATAATTCTTCTGTGTGATATTAGATAGAACATGACATGGAGAGTATAGTTCGGCATTTTTCAAGCAAACATTATTCTCAATTAGTCTGTTGTAAAAAAAGAAATAAGTTTTTCTCAAAAAATACTAGAAAAACTAAAATTGCACAAAGATGGAATTAGTACTGAAAAGTGAACGATTTAGAATTCCAAGTTCAAAACACTGTAACGAGAACAGTAATATTTACCACGTTTCTTTGTCCTAAAGGCATACAATCTTTTGAAATTAGATGATACTCAAAAGCAATACAGTAAAAAACATATCTTTTCAAAACCATTTCCTCGTCAGTCCCATTCTCTAAACATCATAAAATTAAATAATTCGCATTCCATTCTCTTTTCATACGCTTTCTACTTTTAAATAATTTCAAATTGAGATCAAAGAATCTTCAAAGGCAGTGGGTGAATGAAAGTGTGCGGAGTTCGGAAACTAACGAAAGAAATAGCATAAGAATCTTATCTTTTCGTATGTTAACTGCTACTTTCAATTCAAAAGTATCTACAGTAAATAGTAGGAATATTATCGATAATTTCAAAAGTATATCGATAATTAGTCTGAAAGAGACTGTTAGAGTACAAATAATAGTGTTTAGATGTCACATTAACTTCTATCTATCTCTAATCAATAAATCAACATAGAAACAACGATCGTATCAAAAAATAATATAATAAATGAAGTTCATAAAGTAAGTTACAATGCAAAGATTTATTTTAGATGTTACAGCCGTTCATATTGTTTCTGAAAAACACACTCTTGTCAAATGAAACTATGTTTTTAAGTCAATTTACTTTTTACTTTGTACAAACAAATATCATAAAGAGAACTCACGTGCATGTTTTTATAAGTTTCCATCGTTCTTACTACAATAATGTGACTGTCTATAGATTTTTAATCGTGAATTACCTGTTTTATGATAGTTGTTTGATGATTTCTTAAAACATCTTGTGTTGATACATAAGGTCTTACAAATGAATCAAAGATGGGTAATAGTGACGATAATCCATGGGCAGATGAAATAGCTGCCATCCTCTTTCAATAACCAAAATATAATTCCTTCACAATGATGAGATTCTCTTATTTACTCTTTTATGGTATAACGCTTTTAATGGGCGAAAATAAATCAAATGAACATAAAATTCAGATCCATCTTGAACTCAAATTAAGTTTGTCGGGTGTCCAAAGAGAGAGAGAGAGAGAGAGAGAGACAGAGAAGAAGAAAAAAGAAAACCTGTCAAAGTCTGACATAATCATGGGAAAATGTTTGTGAATAGATTAGAAAAAAAAAAATATTAACGAAGTTAATTTTTTTTAGAAAAAAATACAATAGTGGGAGTAGTAGAAAAAACGGACCAGAAAGACATATATTTAAAATTTTGATTCAAACTGCGGTACATCAATAGAGAGAAAACACCCTACAATCATACTAAAAGTATGAATTTATTATTTAATTATTCTTAAGAAAAGAATAATACAATTTTAGAAAAAATGTTAAAGTGCGAAACCGTTCAGATTTGAAAGTTTTTTTTTTCAAGAATGATATCTTGAATAGAACAAGAAAAACAAAAAAACCTATATTCATATTTCGTTTATTTAAAAGAAGATTAATAACGGAAACCATACATTAATATAATATAGCTAAAGTTTTATAATATAGATCCGATTTTATTGTAAAAAAAACACTGTTATCAAGCGCAGTTAATATTTTTTTCCGTCTCAATCGTTTTCTTCTTCCTGAAAGAAAAAATATCTCTAGCTGCACTTGTCCTTCGTAGAGAAAAAAAAAAAAATACAACTGAGTCTGTTTTTTTCGTCTCAGCTAAGAAAACAACCAATTATTCTATTCATTCATTTCCACTCATAAATTCTTTCGTTCTATTTAAGAAGTTTTGCTTTTGGTTAGAATATGAAAAGCGTCAAGTCCAGTTCGATAACTACATATTTCTTATCCGCCGGCCGTATGTGTAAGATATACTCTATAATAAGAATAAATTTTTAAAATACGTAAATAGAATACAAAACTTAAATTAATTCTACTTACTGAACGAGGTTTTTGGATTTTAGTATATTTGGTATTTGCAATTTTGAGCATTTTTTTTTTTTCTTGAATACTGTACAAAGAAGACTAGATGGAAATCATTCTGAAAGTAATAAACAACATTCAGAATGAAATAAAATCCAGAGTAGACCTGTGATCATTCATTGATCTGCAATTTTTTGATAACGAGAACTACTTTTCAATTCAAGTTTATTAAATGGAAACTGTTTTCAGTTCCCGTTCCAGAACGGAGAAGGTCGAACAGTTCACGTTCATAGGAACGAGAAATGGCTCACCAGTTCAAGATCCTTCGGATAGAAAATTGCAGTTGTTTTTGAATGAAGAATTGTTGATGCTCTTCTTCTTAGTGGGTCTATTAGTTGTTTCCTTTTTCAATTCAAAATGTTCGCTATATGAATACATAAAATAAACTAAGAGACCACTAAGAAGAAGAGTATCAACAATTAATTCCTCGCTCAAAAACAACTGCAGCTGCCCATCCGAAAGACATTGAACTGGTAAGTCATTTTTCGTTCCTACGAAAGTGAACTGTTCGACCCTTCTCAGTTCTAGAACGAAAACTGAAAACAATTTTCGTTTAATTAACTTGAATTGAAAAGTAGTTCTTGTTATCAAAGAATTGCATATATAAAGAATTTTCACAGGCCTAATCTAGAAACTAAATAAATTATCACAGATCAAGAAAAATTCAATCGAATTATGATATCTCAATTAGCATCAACTAAATCATGAATGTAGCTTATTCAACTGATTGTTCAATATACGCGGCTGCAAGCGAGATAGAGAGACAAATCATAAATCTTATCAGAGAAGATTCGCATGAAACAACGAAAAACTCTTCAGAGAGTGATAAAAGCGCTTTAAACAGTGATTAACACAATTGCATTATGAAAAACACGGAATCAAAAAGAAAATTCTCGAGGAGCACTGTAAAGCGAAATATCAATATAAAAAGTTGCTGTTTTGTACCAAATTTTTGTGCTTTTGCCTTTTATAGAAATATGCAATAAATTTGTTATTATATTTTTGTCATTATTCTTTTTTTTTTATTTCCTCTTTGTAGAAGTTCTGTAGAATTTTTTTTTGATTATTTCTTTTTATTGTTCATATTAAGTCAAAATAAATATATTTATGAAAAGGTTTATTTTTCTATAAATGCCATCAGTCACTTTTCATTTCAACATAGATAGTTTCTCCTCAGAAGATACTGTAAGACTCTTTTCTTTCAGCGTGTTCATTTAGATTTGAAACTACAGCAAAGTACACGGATCGAATGAACGAAGTATAAGAAGATCAATGGTACTCCTTTTCCGAGATCATTGACAATTTTCAAAATCCCGACAGAACACTTCGCTTGCGCATGCGATCCATTGAGTTTGATCGCACTAGATTTTGTTGCGTTATTATATGTGATTTATTTCATTGCTTCTCTCTTTATGGAAAATTCGATTTGAGAAAACAACTATACTTTTAAAGGAGTCCTTTATTAAATTTTTACGACCGCTTCCATATTTACAAACTTCTGATTCAAACTCCAGCATTTTTTCTTCTGACTATCGTGTGAAAGATGGAGAAAACACTCGAGCTAAATAAGATTCTTTCGAGTGAACTCGAAACAAAGAGACTGAAATGGCGATAAAACATCGAACAACTCGAGAGCAATCTATTTACCACAAAATATGCAGAAAAAAAGAAAACAGAGACTCGAACCTAGACTTCTCGTTCAACTATAATTTTCACATGATAAGCATTTAGTTCTTTTTCTTTCGTTTCAAGTTCAATAATAAGAGTCTAATGTCGTTCCAAGAACTGTCGTTCTCTACTTAATTTTCGAATGTCAGTGGCAACAAAAAAGAGTTGGGTTTTAACCAGGAAATGATATCTCTAGCCGTAATTATAATTACAGATCCAAGCATTCTTCTATACTAAAGATTGGATACTATTTTTCATTGGTGACTAATAAGCGTAAGGAAAAATGTTCTGATGTCGCTTACGTATGATGAGAATTTGTCCGCACGAGATATACTGAAAAAGTATATACTGAAAAAGTGTATCTCATAAGTATATCACTCAGTTATTATTTTATTTTGCTTGATGTACTATATAAATACTATTTATTTTTAGAATATAATAAAGGTCGTTGTGCTAACACGTTTATAAGAGAGTTATAGGTTAATGAAGAGCTCCTGACACGCATCAAGATCGAGTTGTTTGCTACGCGGTGATCACTGGCGGATATTCCATTTAAAAAAATTAAAAACTGCATTGATTATGTGAAATTATGTCGCCACGATACACTTTTAGGTAGTCAAATATTGAAATATCTATAAAAATCTGATAATCATCAGAAGATCTTCAGAAAAACGTCATGCTTCTACCCAGGACGTCGAAAACGGTGTAATTAATTACCAATTAAATGCCATTTAATACGCTGTTAATAAGCATTTAAATGGCATTTTTATGACATTTGACCCCGTTTTAAATGTCAAAAAACAGTCAGATAACAGGCATTTAACTGCTGCCAGTAACCCTACTGGTCACATTTTTTGCTATTCAAATATCAATTGTTAAACCGTTAGAAAATGTCAAAAAAATATCTTCTGAACCTGAGGTACTATCACCTGCATCGAGTCAAGAACCACAGACCACTTCTTCGAGGCAAGTTTCTATGACTCGTATAATTGAAGAAGAGAAACACTCTAAATTATTTTAAAGTCAGAGTCATTTATACTATTCATGACGGCAGAATAAAACGGTGAATGACTTTGTGACCATAAACTGGCTGTTAAATGCCATTTTATGACCAGTTTTTTGCCATTTTGAAATGGAGTAAAAACGGACATTTAACGGCCACATTTATTTGGCATTAGTGAACGCGGTCTAATAAATGGAGGAAAATGCCATTTAATGGTGTCCATAAAATGACAATTTTTCGGACATTGCCTATAATCTGGCATTATTTTCACCGTTATTTCAAAGTCAAAAAATTGTCATTATAATGGCTGTTAAATGACAATTTTCATTCGATTTTTACATAATTAACAGGCCATTTTTTGGCATACAGTTAACAGGCTGGTAACGGACAATTAAATGCCAGTTTTCGTCGATCTGGGTACCGATTGTTTTTTGCCAGCTTAGGTATAAAGTGTAAGAACCTCGTCGTATCTAGCGTCAGAATAGGCAGAAAAAGTTGGCTTTTCTAAAGACTTTACAAATTTTAAATTTTCTTAAGTGTTAATAAATTGTTTTTCCGCCCCAACAACGTCCACAACTAAAATAACATAAGAAAACGCACTTTTTTCCGCTCTTCAAGAAATATTCCACTTAACAAAGTCTTGAACTTAGGAAACGTTCCAATTTCTCACTTTTTCCTTGATTCATGCAGTTTCTTGACCCACAAAGTTATGCTAGGATGTAATCTCTAATAAGGAAGAAGCCATCCTTACATGGAAAAGAATGTACTTCTTGCAAACAGTTTGTTTCTTAATCATACTCAAGATTTCAAATTTATATTTTTGTCAGGCACTAAGGTATTTAGCTCCAGCAAAACAAAAACAGAAAATAATACCATAAGCTTTTGCTGCTGCTGATATTTATTCACAAAGAGTGGAAGTCAGCAGTGGTTCCCTGACATATAATAACAACCTAGGGTGATGAATTTTGAAATAAAATCTTGCACGGTCATCTAACTTAGAAGAACTTATTTCAAGACTTCACAAGATTCGACAAGATCTTGTAAAATCTTGTGAAAACTGTTTCATCCTTAGGATCATATTTGACTATGTTCCTTATAGCCATGTGCTTTATATGTGCTCAATTGGTCTGTGAAGTTGAAGAAATAAAATTTTATACGAGATATGAGAGAAACGTAACTTTCTAGTACAATCACTTGTTTAGACATGTTTCTATAATAACTCAGGTTACAAGAGGCTCGCTTGAGCAAATTTTTTCCTGTGCTTTGCCTAGTACT